GGGAAGGAAAGAGAAGACCTAAAATGAGGCCAAGAACAAGACTAAAAAAAATTAATGACTGACCTCGTAGACCTGTGTACTAGTATGTGAGCTCACAGTACTACTGTAGACCCTTCTCAAAGACACCTGATTGGCTACAGGGTTCACAGAGACTGTAAGATACAAACCCCCCTAACACTCAAGGAACACACAGTCACCCCTGACCCTGAAGTTAGAAGACAGTGACTCCCATACAAGACTAATGTGAACAACAGCCCCAATGTGAAAGACTCCAAACCGGGACTCTCTCCCAGAGCTGGCCTTGGCTTTGGCCCTCAGCAGTTCCACACCAGGAACAGCCCAGTGCTAAACAGTAGTGCAGTGTGTCATGTATGCAGTATGTTTCCTTTGACCATGAAGCTCAAAACTACCTTGTCTTAGTCCCCAGAGTAAGCAAACCGCTTCCCCGTCCCAGCTTCCTGTCCAGATCCATTTTGCAAGTTCTCTTGCCATTTTGTTGTAAGCCACTGAGTTCTTAATAATGTTTTTAAAGGGAGGGGGCTCCTTTATTTTAATAGTCACCAATTTCGACTCCTCCATCCATAAGTTTCCCACTTGAGTGAAGCATTGTCCCAAACACCTACTTACTGTTCTTCCCTTTTAAATTATAAACTCCTCCCTTTCAAACTGAGGACCAGGGCTTACAAGCATCACATGTTTGATAAACATCTGCTGAGCTAGAGTAAATCAAGGTATTAAGCATAATCCTGTGCTGTGCCCACCCTAGGCCTACCTTCTCATCGAGGAGGACATCCGGGACCTCGCTGCCAGCGACGACTACAGGTAAAGCCAGTGGGCCCCTTACCTTGCCCCTGGCCTCACAGTAGCCCGGGGAGAGAAGCTGGGGGCCCATCTTCCTTGCTTCAGATTCCCTCCTCAATGTCTCCTCCAGGGGCTGCCTGGACCTGAAACTGGAGGAACTGAAATCCTTTGTCTTGCCCTCCTGGATGGTTGAGAAGATGCGAAAGTACATGGAGACACTACGGACAGAAAATGACCATCGTGCTGAAGCACCGCCACAGACCTGAGGCCAGAGCCCTGGCTACACTTGGATGCCCTCCTCCTACACCCTGTGGCCAGTGGCCAGTGGCAGAGGCAGCCACCGGGCCGCCTCCTGGCAGGATATCAGCAGCAGCACTCCACTGTATCCTGGGCTCATTTGTAGAGACTCATTGTGGGGAGCCCCAGACTGGCATGTGGTTCGGTATTTGTAAAGTTATTGGAATAAGAAACTATTAAATAATTTGTAGTAAACACGGATGCTGAACCTGCCGTGTCCTCGGCCCTGTGGAGGCTTGGAAACATCAGGGGCTGTAGAACAGGGAGTGTTGCTGTGTACCACCTAGACCAAACCAACTCATAGCTGACCCTCCAGCGGGCTTTCAGAGGCAGTAAATCCCATAGCAAAGCGCGGGACGTCAACTTGTACACCAGAGACCGCCACAACACAACTCCCACATACACAAATGCGTTAATGGTTGGCTACCCAGTGCGGACTGAGGTGGAGCTCCCCGATTGAACAAGCGTGGAAGGAGGAGAGGCGTCCACTTCCATAATAGCTCGCCTCTGGAAACCGTATGAACTTGGAGAAAGGATGAAAGGCACCCAAGCGTCGAGGACTCTCCTTCATAGGGTCGCTATGAGTCGCCTGCGACTTGACGGCACTTAACAACAACAAATCCCATAGGAGGAGACTGCCAGGCTTTCGCACGGCAGCTGGTGGATTTGAACCTTTCGCTTCTGGGTTGGCAGTGCAGCTCCTTAGCTGCGCTCTCTGGGAGGCAGTGAGTATTTAGGAAAAGCCTACCTTCCCAGTCTCCCAACCCGGAGGACGCAGCTCCATGCGCCCCTGCTCTAGACCACCAACGTCCCTGTCCCTCCGTTTCTTCCTGAGGGAGACTTGGGGCACTCTGATGGCCGGCCTTGAGACAGTAGATGAGAGACCTTAGGACAATACAGAGCGGCACTCGTCACCCCCATTTACAGGCTAAAGCACTGCGGGCCCAGGACCCTCAGCAGAGCGGCTGACGGGATGATGAGCCCGGGTTTCCTGATAGTAAACTGCTTCATCCCGTCCCTCGGCCTCTGGTTTGCCCTCCTCGCCGGGACTGCGACACGCAGGGATAAAGGTGGCCAGACCTTTATCATAGGAAAGGAGCACGCTTTTCAGTTTCGACTGAAAGATGGGGTTTCCAAAGCCAGAGACACCCTCTTCCGGGGGCGTGCCGGCGGGCCAGAGACCAAACAGCTGCGTGACTTTAAAGCTTTACCCCACGTGGTCATTTTCTTGCTCTTTAATGGTCGGCTTTTTCTAAAGGTCACCAATCCACTAGAGGCTGGTTAGTTAGTGGCCAATAGAACGTCAGAAGCAAGATTCCCATCGCCCAATAGTGTTGCGCTAGTGGGTGGTGGTAGCACTCCAGCGAGTTTCATTGGCTGGATCAAACCCAAGCGAGCCGCTGATTGGGCGGCCCCGCCAGAGGGTTACAATTCAAATGCGGGCGGGCGGGCCCACTGCCCTGCAGTTGCTGTCGTGTCTTCCGAGCCGTGTTGTCTTTCTGCCGACAGGATGGCCTCCCGGAACCGCAACCCAGCAACAGCCAGCGTTGTTGCCTCCCGAAAAGGGGCAGAGCCTAGCGGGGGCGCTGCCCGGGGCTCCGTGGGCAAGAGGTGAGCAAGGGACTGGGCATGCCGGAGCGTGGGGGCCGACGGCAGGACTTGCGGGACCTCCGCCTTCTCAGCCAAGGAGGTCTGGAGAGCAGTGGGGTGCGCTGGACCGGTGGCTACTCCCTTCCGAAATAGGACAAGAACTGTAGGGTCGCGCTGACAGTATCCTCCTGCGGCTGACCCAATTGAGGAATGCCGGGGTTACCTGCTGTGGTGTGGCGGCAGGGAAGAGGGGAGGAATTGAGATTGACCACGAAGAGAGACGCCCCAGAGCAGAGGTGATAAGAACATGCCAGAACTCCCTGCCTGGAGCCTAGAATTAGGGGTGTTGGGGATTCAGAATTCACTAGGACTCTGCTTGGGAGGTTGGGGGCGAAGCCTCTGTGACCCCGGATGCTCTCTTTGCAGGCTACAGCAGGAGCTGATGACCCTCATGGTGAGTGACTGAGCTGCCCGATCCCCAGCCAGGTGGTCCACCTCCACCCAATTAACTGGGCCCTTGACTGACTGTGAGGCCAAAAAGGGGCGAATCGCAGAAGGAAGTGATCTTCACCTACAGCCTTCCTTCCCACGGTCCCCAATCCCATCACTTCACAATGAAATGATCTCCATCTGTCCCTCCACTGTTAGTTTGAAGCCTCATTTATTTCTAATCGTGCCCCACCTTGGGATGCTCGGAATATAACTCCTCCCGGCTCACCCTGACAATGAACCTCTCTAATAATAATCCCCCCAGAGGACTTGTCTAATCAGTGCCTCCTGAAGCCCCTCTCCACTTGCTCTGGTTCTTTCTAGGATCAAAGTGTGATCAAAAAGTCAGGGGTCACCTATGCACAGAAAGTATAAGGAAAAGTACAAGTGTCATTTCCTCTGCAGATGTCTGGCGACAAAGGGATTTCTGCCTTTCCTGAATCCGACAACCTTTTCAAATGGATAGGGACCATCCATGGAGCCGCTGGCACAGTAAGTGCAGGGTTTGGGTGCGAGGGGGGCCTTGTGGCTTTGTTCTTTAAAAGGGTAAAGCTTAAGATTAGACTTCATCTTGGGTACCTGGCTTGGGGGGATCAGACATCAAAGTAAATGAATGAAGAACAAAGGAGCACTTTTCTCTTCTGAGGGGGACAGATGTCAAAGGGACACTTCCCAGACAGAAATGCCAATGTCTCAGCAAGCCCCTTGCTATCATGTCAGATTGGGATCTGAAGCTCAGGGAAGGGGCACTCATTCCTGTTTTCCAAACAGGTATATGAAGACCTGAGGTATAAGCTCTCCCTAGAGTTCCCTAGCGGCTACCCTTACAACGCGCCCACGGTGAAGTTCCTCACTCCCTGCTACCATCCCAACGTGGACACTCAGGGTAACATCTGCCTAGACATCCTGAAGGACAAGTGGTCTGCCCTGTATGACGTCAGAACCATCCTCCTCTCCATCCAGAGCCTGCTAGGAGGTAACTGTGAGACCACTCCCTTCCCTTGGACACTGGAGCCTGCCAGCCTTTGACCCCCTTGACCATAAATATAAAAAAAAAAAAATGTTCCCCCCCTCCACCCACAGAACCCAACATCGACAGCCCTTTGAACACACACGCTGCTGAACTCTGGAAAAACCCCACAGGTGAGTCCTTTGGCTTTGGGCACAGGGCACTCAAACAAAAACCATCCCAGTGGCGAGGGACTGTCCTGAAATCTAGGCTGGAGGTCGGCCCAGCTCAGCCCCTACCTAGCTGCTGCTCTTGATCTATTTGCTTTACAACCAAGAAGTTGATCCTTAACTGGTAGAGGAGCTGAGCAGTGTGGTAGTTGAGCCCTCAGCTGTTGACCAAATCTAAATTGGCTCCACCGCAGTGAGCTCCCACCTGATGTGAGGTCTCAGGGCTTTGAGAACCATCCTTGGTCAAACAGCCCTCTTGGCCACTTTAATCACTCACTGTCACCTGTTCTCTTCCAGCCTTTAAGAAGTACCTACAGGAAACCTACTCAAAGCAAGTCTCCAGCCAAGAGCCCTGACCCACTCTGTCCGGCCTCTGTCCTTGTGTCGTGTCATCTTTTTTCCTTAGTTGATCTGTCCTCCTTGGTTTCTGTCCAAGATTCTGTATCTGAAGCTGTGGCGTCCTTTCTGTTTTGTTTTTTAAATTAAGCCTCTGTTTGAGCCTTTATGATGAATATATTAAATAAACACATTTGGGGTTAATTTTGTTCCGGAGTTTTGCTTCTTTTGGTTTGTGTGGGGGTTTTTCTTTTGCAAGTTGCTGTAGGGTTGGTGGTGTGGCCGTGCTGAAGAAGATTATTGAAACATACTGTGGATTGCTAATAGAACAAACAGATCTTGTCCTGGAGAGGGTGAAAAACAGGTTACCCCTTAAAGGCAAGGATTTTAAAGCTCCATCTACATACTTTGGGCATTTTCCAGGAAGGACCAGTCCATGGAGAAGGACATCATACTTGGAAGGATAGAGGGTTAGCACAGGAGAGAAAGACCCTGGATGAGATGGATTGAGACAGTGACTGTGACAGGGCTGTCAGGTGTGTCAGAGAGAGTGAGGACGATGAATATATTAAATAAACACATTTGGGGTTAATTTTGTTCCGGAGTTTTGCTTCTTATGGTTTGTGTGGGGGTTTTTCTTTTGCGAGTTGCTGTAGGGTTGGTGGTGTGGCCGTGTCCTCCGAGGTCAGGACGAAGTGAGACGACTCCTGCCCTGTTCTTTTCCCCAGGGAAGACTAGAAATGCTGGACTGTGAAGCCCAGCAGTAGGGTGACTAGGATTTGTTCCCTGTGACCTTATTTTACAACTAGAGCTGCTTCTTCCTTTGTAAGATGGGTGTCACAATTGTGCCTGTTTCTGGAGTTGTGATGTGCTCCAGGAATGCTAGGGGGTTTTTTCTCAGGGCATTAAAGGTACAGTTGAACCAGGGCTTGCACTGAAAGCAAGAGCTGTAGAATATGGAAGGGGGCAGGGGCTGGGTAGGGGGCATTATTGGCAGGGGTTGTAGCCCTGGGAAATGAGACAGGAGATGGGTCAGGTCACCCAGCGTCCAGGCACATCACCAAAGAAAGCCTCTCCACTGGCAGACCCTCGGGATTAAGCTCTGTCCTCCATGGATAGCCAGGTCCGCTGAGGCACCCAAGCTGGTCAACCCCACCCACAGCTGGATGTGCAGGCCTTGGGAGAGGGGAGACAGGAGCTTCTCTCCCTTGAGGGAAGTTCCCACCCGTCCCTTCCTCTTGCTACTAGCCCATACCCCCTCTGCCTTGTCCCCACATCAGGTGACCACATGTGAGGGGGAAAAACTTGTCAAGCGCTGGGACTGAGGCATCGTTGTCTTCAATTTCCTCATTTCTGAAATTGTGCTCCTCAGACTTGGAGCAGTGCTTGTCCATATAACAGGAAGATCTTAGACAAGTTTAGATTTGAAAGCTGGGGACCTGAAAAGCTTTCCTAATTAATTCCCAGTTGACACCATTGCGGCTGCCCATGTAAAGGGTCAGAGAGGGCTTCCAGGTGCAGTCTTTCCACTGCCATCCACTGGGGGCTGGGTGTCCATAGTTGGTACTCCAGCGGACTCTCAGAGGCAGTCATTCACTCTGGAGGAGATTTCCTGTCTTTATCCTGTGGAACATCTGGTGGATTCAAATCATATGTCTTTGGGGTTGGCAGTGCAGCTTCTTATCAGGAGCTGGTTAAAAATGGAAATTATCAGCCTGTTAAAACAAGCTCTCCAGGTGATTCTGATACTCAACTCATATTTGGAAATCACTTTTAAAAAAAATGCCTGCAAGAGCGGAACTCAGCACCTGGTGGTTATTAGAGGTGACAAAGGGAGATGGGCCTTTTGTCTGCATTTGAGGAAGTGTCCACCTGGACATCGGTCATAGTGTTTAATCTCACAGATTGTCACATAACTCACTTTAAGTCGATGTGGTCTGTCATTCAGAACTAGAGTCATCGCTGAATTAACCAAAATTGTTGTTTACCGACAAATCAGAACCGACCCATAGCTGACCCTCTGAAGGGTTTCAGAGGCAATAAACCAAACCACATGACCTTCCCACGAAGTCATCAGAGCTCCCTGAGTTAACCACTGGTAGAGGTTATTTTACTAACTGGGTTACTAAAAGAGAGGGCCTGTGGGTCTGGGCTCCTGGTGGATACAGCTGCAGGCAGAAGTGAGGGTCCAGCCTCCAGTCCACACTGTGACATGTCTATCAGGAGCCAGTAAGTCGCTTTTTTGGTTTAAAGCTCCCTTCATTTAGGTTTTTGTCACTTGCAACAGAAAGAATGAAGTAGTACTGTTGGGTGCTGTTGTGATTGAGAATACGGAGCCCCGCGTGGCAGAGCAAGGGAAGCTCTGGTAGCTAAGTGGTAGGGAATTGCGTTGTCAATCCAAAAGCACAGAGTTCAAATCTGCCAGCTACCCTGTGGGAGAAAATGGGCAATCAATTGAAAGCCCACCAGAGGGTCAGTTATGAGTAAGTCTCAACTCAACCATACACACATGTGCCAGGGTCGAAATGCCCCTTAGCACTCACTTCCTGGGTGTGAGCATTACAGAAGCAGAGGGCCAGTCTTCCTCTCATAATGTGGGTAAGTGGATTTGAACTGCCAGCCTTTTGGTTAACAGAAGAATGCTTTAACATTGCACCACCAATGGCTTTTAGTAGAAGCCTTACTATTCCCACTAACTCCACAGAATTAACTCAAGTGCGTATATGGGAAGAAAAGTGAATATTTGGGACTGGTGATAAACCGAGGGGGAAAAGACCCAATTCTGTTCCCAAAGAGGTTGAAATTTAGGGGACAGATGACAGCAGAGAAATTGCTCTACAGAGTGGTGGTTAAGAGCTTAGGCTGCAGGATAAACGACTCTTGTTAGAATCTGCCTCCAGCCCATGCTGCTTATATAAACGTCTCCCAACGACAGTTCTGGCGTATCACATAGAGATCGCACTGCTAACTCCAAAGACAGTTCGAATCCACCAGTGACTTTGCAGCAGAAAACTGGCCAGTCTCCGCCCATGTGCTTTACAACCTCAGACCAACGGGGGTTCAGCTATGAGTCAGTTCTGATTCATCAGCAATAAGTGAGTGGAAAAGCCCTGGTTACACAGAGGCTGAAACCCTGTGGTGTGAGCCCACGGGCACTCTGTTTCTGTAAGAATTACAGCCTTAGAAGACCCCCAGGCAGTGCTACTCTGTCCTGAAAGGTCACTCTAAGTAAAAATAGAAAGAATGCCATTTTCTGCCTTACAGGGTATTCGTAAGTCCCTTAGAAGAGTGCCTTGTTGTTGTGATGTGTCATCGAGTCGCTTGCAACTCATAGCGACCTTATGTACAACAGCCCTAAAACGTGCTCTATCCTGTGCCAACCTTATTGTTTCTGAGATACCTACCCTCATTACCCCAGTCACTAAATCAATCCATCTCATTGATGGTCTCTCTCTCTCTGTCCCTCCACCCTTCCAAGGATGAAGTGCCTCTCCAAGAACTGGTCCCTCCTTGCAACATGCCCAAAGTATGTCAGAAGAAGCCTGGAGCGTCCTGGTTTCACCCTCTCCAGAACAAACTTACTTGTTCTCTTGACAGTCCAGGTATATTCAATACTCTCTCCAGCACCACAGCTCAAAGGCATTCACTCTTCTTCTATCATCCCATGTCATTGTCCAGTTTTCCAAATCATAGCAAGCAATTCCAAAGACTATGGCCTGGATCAGGCACACCTTAGTCTCCAGACTGATGTCGTTGCTCTGGATCAGACAGCAGTCTTTCCTGGTGCAATTCATCTTTTAGAAGAGTGCCTTGGACATCATTCATTGTCAGCACTCAATAAATGTGTACTGGACTCAGGAATGGCTGTGAAAACACAGAAGTGAGGCACTTCACGCAGAATAGGAGGGCCAGGGAAGGCTTTCTGGAGAAGGGGACTGAGTGGTAAGCTAGCAGGGGGAGAGACGGGCTGAGGAAGTAGCACAGAGGTCTGGTCACAAGGTCCTTTGCCTCTGGCGTTGTGTGGATGAAATGAGAAAATACATCAATTCCTAGCACACAGCGAACATTCAGTGATAAAATGCTCTTACTCATTACCGTCAAGTCAGAACGGACTCATAGCTGACCCTCCAGTGAATTTTTGGAGAATCCTTTCTTCCCTCTGCCGAGCCACTGCTGGATTGGAACACCAGAGAGGCTCCCCCTTAGGTTTTAGCAGCACAACTCCTTACAGACTGTGCCACCTGAGTTCCCTACTCCATAAGTAGTGACGATTTAGTGTCAATTAAACACCAGTACTGATCCTGCCTAGCAAAACTGGAGACCTCTGAATGAGGCAGAAAGGGAGAAGAGATGTGGAGGAGAAGGGGCGCTGTGTCAAAGAGGAAGAACAAGAGTTCAGAGTTGCAAGAATTGCTATAGTAATTAACAGCATTTGTTAAAAGGAGTCCTGGGTGGCAGTGGTAGTTAAATGGGTAACTACCAACTCAAAGGTTGGTGGTTCAAACCCACCCAGGGTACCTCAAAAGAAATGTCATCGAAAACTCTATGGAATGAATAGGTTTTAATTCTCTACATGTTGTTGCCCGATTCCTGAGTTGTTTTACTCTCCACATAAGCAAGAAAAAATAAAGAACTGTGTAAGGCAGAGTTCTAAACTGAAAGTCGTGTGGATAACATGAGTCAGAATCTACCCTGTGGTGCCCACTTAGAATGTATTACATGCTTATTAGTTGCCACGGACTCTTCTAAGGACTTTGCTTAGAACAACCTGTGAGGTAGGTCCTACTGTCATTAACAGATGAGGAAAATGAGGCACAAGGCAGTTTAATGTGTGGACTCAAACACTCACCAGTAATGAGGACTGAAACTCCGAAAGCCTGACTCACTCCCACTAATTATTTTATGGCCCGCTGCCTGCTGTGATGGAGTTGTTTATAAAAAGCTGCAAGAGTCACAGCCAGGCCAGTGGGATGGAGAAAGGAGGGGTAGTATCTGAACCAAGTCTTGTGAGTTGAGTAATTTCCAGAAGGAAAATTACTTCAGACAAGGACAGCGTTTAAAAAGACTCAAAGCCGTGAAAGTGCATCCACATTCATTCCAGAAATGGTCAAATTCTGGATGTGATTGGTTGGAGTCTGGCAAGAGGGCTTGTCAGAGGGAGGAAGTGGAGGGAAGAATTTGGATTTGGTTTCTAAAATGAATGGGGAGACTTGAAGGACTTGCAACAGAGCTGTGGCTGGCTCGAATTTCCCTCTAGCCAGATCCTGAGGCTTTCTGCCGAGCATGCTGGCTGGGGTGGAAGACAGAGCCAGGCTTGAGATGACAGGTCAGCACCTGAGGCTGTGTGCCTCACCCCTGCCCTTGCCAAGGGCAAGAGGAGCTTGGAAGAGGAGACAAGGGTGCCTGGGTGGGTGAGCAGACACTCCCAGCTCCAAGCAAGACAGCAATATCCAGAGGCTCCAAGAAGAAGCAGGCAAGGAAGTGAGGGAGCCCAGGGCCATGACCCCCACCCGGGTCCCCGCCTCCTGCCGCATCGTTGTTCTGCCCCACCGGTGCACCTTCTGCAGGCTCAGGCCCAAGATGCAGCCCTGCCAGGCGGCCCTGACACCCAATGGCTCCGCCCTCGCGTCACTCAAGCCAGGCCTTTTGCAAAGTTTGCTTTTATTCCTTCCATACACAGACCCAGAAGGGCCCGGGCGCGCCTCCTGCCGGGCAGAGGATGGAACCAGGTGGGAACTGGGCGGAGCTGCCCGCGCCCGAGGGATGCGCAGTCTCCCCGTTGGCCAGTGCTGCCTGATTACTGCACACCCTCCATCATCTTCAGGAACTCTGCGGGCAAAGGACACGAGAGAGGTCAGGGGTCCACTAGGGACGAAGGCTCTGGCCATGCCACCCATCAGTTAATGGACTGAGCCAAGGCACCCCACCCAGGCCTGTACTGCCCACTCCCAGCCCTTCTCCCGAGGACACCCGGATGAGACGCCCTCACCATCGAAGTCAATGCGCCCGTCATTGTTTTTGTCGCCGTCTTTCATCAGGGACTCGATCTCCTCCTCTGTGACCTGCTCCCCAGAAGCCCTGAAAATCTCAGCCAGCTCCTCGGCGTCGATGTAGCCATCTGCATTCCTGTAGAGCAGGGCCAGGCTCAGGGCGTGCAGGAGCCGCCCTCCCTCACCTTCACCCCCAGATCCTTGGCGCCCTGCGCCCCACGCCCCCCCAGTGCACCTGTCAAAAATGCGGAAACACTCGGCCAGCTCCTCCTCGCTCTTTCCCTTGGCGTCCTCTTTCATCTGGCGCACCATCATGACCAAGAACTCTTCAAAGTCGATGGTGCCGCTGCCTGAGGGGAGAAGGTGGCCGAGTGGACCCGAGCCCTGGACACTGGCCACTCCCTGCCATCACCACCCTGGCCAGCGAGGACCACCCGCTCACCGTCCTCATCCACCTCCTCAATGATGGCGTCCAACTCCTCTTTGGTGGGGGTCTGGCCCAGCATTCTCATCACGGTACCCAGCTCCTTGACGCTGATGTCACCGCCACCATCAGCGTCGAACATGTCGAAGGCGGCTTTGAACTCTGTCAAGGGGGATGAGGACCCAGGGCTGAAGGGAGTTCTGCGTTAGCCCTCACCTCCAGACCTCCAGAGCCCTCACCGTGGACACCTCTGCCCTCCCGTCCTGTCCCTACACCAAACCACACCCTAAACATCCAGCCCTCCACCCTCACTCACCAGCGATCATCTCCTCGCTGAGGTAGGACCGGGCCTCTGCCTGCTGGTCCGTCTGCAAAAGACACACGGAGTCAGGGAACAGAGATTCCAGCCTGGCTCCATTATCTCCAATCCACCCCCTCATTTCTGTATGTGCCCCCCCTCCCTCCAGAAACTAGTTCAAATGTGCTGCTTCCTTCGTGCCCCCCAGCACTCAGCCCCATTTGGAAGAGCTAAAGAGAGACAGCAGTCCTAGCCAAGGCCTTCTCACTGGTCAGTCAGAGGTCAAATCACGAGAACTCTTTCCCTGTTACATTGGACTAGTCACTCAGATTGAACCATCATTGAAATTCATCACAGAGAGGAAATCCTGGACGTGAGGACTTTAGAAAGCACCGGCACCTTTCCACGGTGATCTTGGTGATCTTCCAGTGTGTCGTGGTTCCTAACGGTGCCTAAAGGGAGCCCTGGTAGCCCAGTGCCCTGCTAACCTCTCTCTGGAGGTTCAAACCCACCCGTGGTTCCGCAGGAGAAAGTCGAGCAATCTCCTCACATGCAATTTACAGCCTTGGAAACAGCACGGGGTCAGCTGTCAGTTGAGTCCAAGTGCATGGTCATTACTGAAGTTAAATGGAGCTAAAGAAGCCGTGGCAGTGCAGGGATTAAAGCACTCCGCTTTTAGCCAAAAAGTTGGTGGTTCAAACCCATCAGCTGCTCCACAAGAGAAAGACACGATCCTCTGCTTTGATAAGCATTTACCGCCTCAGAAACCCTATGGGGGCTGGGGGAGTGTATAATAATGAAAGAATTTTTTTTCTTTCACTTTTCAAAGAGAAGAGTGAACTGGGGGGAGGTTGGGCAGGGAGAAAAGTGCAACAATGAATGAATGGAAAGCCAAAGTCTCTGTAAACCTTCATTAAAATTAAAAAAGAAGAAAAAAAAACCCTATAAGGAACTTCTACTCTGTTCTTTAAGGTCGCCAGAAGTCAGAATCAAGTCAATGACAGAGTTTGGTATTAGGAACAGCAACTAGTGCTTTAGTAGGTACTCAATAAATATTGGATCTCAAATAAATGATAGTGTAAGACAAAATGATGGAGCACCTGCTATGTGACAGGTAACCAGGTACTGGACGCACCCAGAAGAGTGTGCACCTTATTCCCACCGCTCTGAGACCCTGCAGAGGTAGAAGATGTGACTCCAAGTTGTTAAGTTTCCCTCTATGATTTAATCATTAAAGACCTCTCATGCTGAACAGTACAGGATAGAGACCCAAGAGGGGTCAAGGTAAGATTTCTACATGTGTTCCCAGTTCCTTCCCAGCCAGGCCATCTGGGTAGGCTCCATGGAGGAGGGGCCCTCTGGACAGAAGCTGGCAGTGAGGAAGGGTAGAGGCATCCAAGTTCTTCAGCCTCTGGCCCTGCTCCTTGCCCCCTCCTCCCTGGTCCCTATGCCAGGAGGGCAGGCTATTTTTAGTCAGCTGTGGGCAACAGCAGCTGGTCCCTAGGGTCTGGTTACTCCTTGAAGTGGGGAGGGGAGTCTCAGAGGAAAAATGCCAGCCCCAAGTCAGAATGCCTCTCTAAAAGGGCTAGGGTCTGTCCTCTTCTGGCCTTGGCCATGAATCTCAGGATTCTCAGGGCTCTGCTCCTGAGCTGGCTTGAGGTGCTGCAGGCCTCCTTCCTTTGGGAGAAACTTTCTCTGTCACTGACAGTACCTTTGCCCAGGATTGAAGGCCACTCTTGTCACTGGCTCATTGGGAAACTTTGGTCAGCTCACACTGGCTTTCAATGTCCCCTCAGGACCATGAGGAAGCCTAGCTATCACCACGGTCACCACCACCCCATCTTCCACTGCTCTAGGATTGACATTGCTGAAAGACTCAGAAGGCCTAGACGCTTTGAGGTTCCGTCCTTGGACCATCCCACCCTCTCCTACCAAGAGACGTTAAAGGCTTCTGCCCCAGTTTTTTTCCAAGAAACTCAGGTTCTGAGAAACTATTCTGCTCCATCTTCAAGTGTCCAAGTTATTGGCCTCCAGACCACCCAGCTCTGTCCTTGCAGGAGCCCAGAGGTTGTCCATTGGGTAAGAGAAGAAAGTCTCCTTTTCCTTACCATGATTGCACGTCACCGGGCTCCTCTGCTACAGGTCACCTCCTCTGCACTGCACCACCCAAAGATGTCCTGGCCCACTCCAGCCCACAGGATTTGTAGGGGCACCCTCCCCTTCCACCTCCCTGCTCCCCAGAATGGAACACCCTGGCCAATCAGATCCTGGGGTCAGCAAGCCCCACCCCTCCCAGGGCCCTAGCCCATTACCTAATTTAGCCAAGGGCCCTTGCAGAGAAATTTAAGCCTGTGAGCAGGTGGCGGGCTCTGACATCCTAGACTCCTGGGAGGAGGACTCTGCTCTTCTTGTCTCAGAGAGCTGGGACTCAAGAAGCACACTTGCACCAAGATGGGACAGGGCAGTCGGAAGTGGGAAATGGGGCAGCATCGTGGAGCAGAAAGAGGAGAGCCTTTGGTGGTCTGAAGCCCAAGAGTCTAGTAGTGCCTCTACAAGCTATGTGTCCTTGGGCAAGTGGCCATGCGTCTCTGGGCCTCAGTTTCCTCAGCTGTGAAGTGGGAAGAGTCACAGTCTCTCTCACAGAGTTGTTGTTCGGGGCTGTCAAGATGAACCCTGTGGGCAGTGGGTATGAGCGCTGTCCTATCCTATCCTGTGCCATCCCCACAGTCTCGGGCACACTTGACCCCACTGCGACCATCACTGCATCCATTCATCATAGGGAGCAGCTCTCTTCAGCTGCCCCCCCACCTTCCCAAGCATGATGTCCCTTTCCAACGACTGACCCCTTCTGACCATATGCCCAAAGTATGTGAGATGAAATGTCACCAAAAGAGCACTCCGCTTGCACTTTCTCCAAGACATGATCGGAGAGCCCACAGTAAATGGGAAGCCAGGAAGAACGTCATCTAACTTGTGCCAGGTACGTGGAGATGTCACAGTCACAGCAAGTGGAGTTCTTTTATCACTGAATCATAACCGAAGGGTAAGGGACAGGAAGAGGGGACAGCCACAGTCACCATCTATGGTTTGCCACAGTCTGTGCTGGGATTTTAACCACATGGTGTCATCAAGTGTTCACCCTATGAACAGGCAACTATTCTTATCCCCATTTTACTTAAGGGCTTTGTAAATCTTAAAGGTCTATACTTTGATTGTCAAACCTCCTTATTAAGGTTAATGGAGAGAGGTTAAGACAGTCCTTGAGGGGAGGGCAGGAGTCCAAAAGACACGCATGTAGGTGTCAGGGAGTAGAGGGGGACATGAGATAAGCCTTGAAAGCAAAGGGTTTTTCTCTCAAGGTTAACTTCTCCAGGAAAATTGTTTGGGATTCACTTTTTTTTTTGCGGGTGGGTGAGTCAGGGTAAAGTTCTTTTTTAAAAATTTATTTATTCATTTATTTTCTTTTATTTCATTTTATATTGGTTTACTTACAAAGTTCACATACATTGTTTTTCACACCGGATCGTTCCCCTTTCCCTTACCCACCAAATCGTGGGGTAAAGTTCTTTAAAGCAGCTGGTTCCATCCTAGAGCACTGGGAGGGAGAAAGAAGGGTGGGCTAGTCAAGTCTGCAGGGAGCGTACCCCCAGAATCCACAGAGCCTAGACTGGGCTTTGGAGGGCAGGCACGGCTCGTGGACAGTGGCTAAGTCAACGGACAGAGCACCCGCAGAGCAGGTCGGGGTGAGGCATGGGGGGGAATTAGGTGAAAGAGGGCAGATGGACAGTGGCAACTGGGCTGTCCCCTTCCCCCATACATAGACATTCCAAGGAAAGTTGTGCAGAGCCAGGCCAGGCTAAATCAGGCCTCTCCAACCAGGCAGAGGGCCAGGGACCACATCCGGGAAATTCTAGTTCCAATACAAATGCTGGAAACATCAACCTTTATGGAAAAGAGAGTGTAGACTCTTCAGAGACCATCCGTGTGTTGATTTGTTCTTGTTGTTTATTCGGAATATGAGTTAAGGTCCCATCCATCAATCCAATCTCACCCCTCCCCAAGATCTCCCCACCCTGTTGCTCTGCTCTGGTCAGACTTAAATCACAGAACCTGGACCCAGTAAATACCTGTTCTGTCCAGTGAAATCTGACTAATAGCCACTCTACAGTGATGTCAGTTTGAGGACGGACTAAGGTGTCCCTGATTCAAGTCATGGTCTTTTCAGTCACTTGCTGTGCATTTGCTAAAGGATGGCAGAAAAAGAACTTAACACCTTTGAGCTGTGGTGGAGAAGAGCACTGAACATCCTGTGGACGGCCAAAAGAACAGATAGACGTGTCTTGGAGAGGGTGCAGCCAGAGTGCTCTTTGGAGGCAAAGAAGATAAAGTTTCCTCTCACATACTTTGGATGCATTACCAGGAGAGGGTATTCCTTGGAGAGAAACATCGTGCTTGGAAAGGTGGAGGGACGGTGAAGGAGAGGAATACCCTCCATCAGGTGGAGTGACACAGTGGCACGGTGAGGACGGCACAGGATAGGACAGGGTTCAGATCTGTTGTTCACAGTCACTATGCATCGTACTCTACTCGACGGCACCCAACAGCAACGACAGGATAGAAGAAAGAAGGGATTCAAGGCTGCAATCTTTATGGAAACCGACTGCCACATCTTGCTATCAAGGAGGAGCTGGTGGTTTTGAACTGCAGACGTTTTAGTCACCAGCTGGGCACTTCACCTCTGACTTGGCCCCTGGCAGATATTCAGTGAATGCTGTGTTCTATGTAGGAATAAATGAATTCATTGGCAAGGAGGAAACTCCTGATGGTCAGGATGAACAATGATGCAGACAGACAGAAAATAAGCCTCCCGTCACTAGATGTGTGTCAGAAGGAGCTAGAAGACCACCTCTCAGTCAGACCGCACAGAGTTATCAGAGGTCAGAAGACATCAGATGGAAAAAAAAAAACCAAAAAGACATCAGATGATCTCTCATTTATCTTTAATTTATTATTATTATTAATTTTAATGATGATCTCCCATTTCTAACAAGCAGGGTAATATGCACCCTTTCATCTCCCTGAGCTTCACACTTCCCACCTGTGTTAGAGAACCAAAAGATTTCTGACGGACTGTCTCGGTCTTGTTATGACTGTTGTGGTTTTATGAATGCCTGCTTTGTACCTAGATGTAACCAAAAGGTTTGTGCTCAACTGTGATGACGGTTCAAGCCTACCCAGGGGTCTCAAAACGTAGTGATCTTAAAAACAAACAAACAAAAACAACAAAAAACTAAAACACCCTAGTGATCCATTTCCAGAAGTCTCCTCAGCCAAGAAAACTAGGAATCACAGTTGTTCTCTGAAATCATGTGAGGTGGCCACTAGAAGGAACCGACTAGATAACAAGAAGGTTTTGTCTTTCTAGATTTCTGAGGCATAGACCAAAGTTGCACAGTTCAGCCAGTTTGGTAAATGAGTGAGTGTTGAATGAATCGAAGAGGCACGGCTTTCCTGCCCCAACGCCCTGGCTGGAAGCCAAATGATGAGTCTCTCTTATTGCCACCTAGTGGGAACCTTCTCAGAGCTGACCTTCTACTGGGTTCCCAAGGTTATAATTCAAATGAGAAGAGATTGCTCATCTTCGTCCCTCTGAATTGCTGGTGGATTCTCCCCCCTGGTAGGTACCACTGATGTGTTATCATCACAAGTCCTCATGGCCTACACTCCCTAACGGAAAGCTGTTGTCGCTGTTGTTATGTGCCATCGAGATATCCACGAATGAAGAGTTAGAGCTTTCATATTTAGACTTGAAACCCTCCTAGCCTTACTATTTCTTTTTAAATTATTTTATTTTATTATTTCACGTGTGTACCATCAAATCAGATCTGACTGGTACTGGAGAAGATTGCCCTCCTTCTCCAGCAGAGCATCTGGTGGATTCGAACCGCGCACCTCTAGTAGAGCTTGCAGTACAGCTTCTTGCCACTAGGCCACAAGAGCTCCATAGCCTTACTATTTCTGACTTGTTCGTTTGCCTTGGTTTCTTCATCTCAAAAATGGGCCATTACTGTTCAGTAATAGTCCCTGAATGTGATGGGTTGACACAGTGACTGTGGTAATTTTGAAGGCACATAACAACAACATAAAGCCTCCTCCTCAGGAGGCTTTGAGACTGAGACTGACACCATGGAAAGTGCCTTGTATAGGATCAGGGACCGAGTGAAAACTCAGTGAGACCACCGTTCCTTCTGTTCATCTCCTCACCTCTTTCCTGTGACTCTCAGAAATGCTAGGCGGCTCTTTCCACTTTAGCGCCATTGTGTTCGAGACCTCGGAACCATGAGGGCCAAGTGGAGGAAGAAGTGAACACGCAGGCTGAAACGTAAAGGAAGAAAGAGGAGGCAAAGGTGCAAGTAACCGTGAGCATGTGTGCCCGCAGACGCCATGGCGGCAGGAGCAGAAAACGCCACAGGCTGGGGACACTGATACCAACTGGACTACATGTTCCTGTTGAGAACTTCTGGCTCAATGGATCTAGAACGTCCATCGCCATGCCATCGCCATGAACACCTCAGAGAAGCCCACTTTCCTCCTTCGAAACCAGGCCCTTTTGATCTGTTGCCCTGGACCTATGATTTTCTGGACTAACTCTGCTTAGGTGTGGTTGGATGTACAATAGATCATCTCTTCTGCTGTCTTAGCCGAAGAATTTTAAAAAACCACAATAAAAAAAAAAAAAACACCAAAATAATGCTAGGCAGCCTCTCCTCCTTCTCTGTTTCATCTTAAGGAGGGAGGTCTGTCCCTTTGAGGATGTAACTTTCTAATAAATCTATCTTCACTATTGTACCTTTATAAAAACAACCCAGTGGGCACAAAATACATTCTTTTTTTAATTTTTATTTAATTATTTTTGTGTGTGTGTATGTACCGTCAAATTAACTGGTACAGGAGGAGATTGCCCCTCCTTCTCCAGCAGAGCATCTGGTGGATTCGAAACACATACCTCTGGGATTGCAGTACAGCTTCTTGCCACTAGGCCACCAGAGCTTCCCACAAAATATATTCTATATTACATGTTTTTGTTGTTGTTGTTATGTGCTGTCGATTGCCTGTGACTCATAGTGACCCTATACGTACAGTAGCCCTAAATACTGCTCTATCCTGTGCCAATTTTATTTTCTCTGACCCACTTACCCCCATTATTCCCCCCCACCCCCAGCCCCAATCACTGAATCAATCCATTTCATCCAGGGTCTTCCTCTCCTGCACTGTCCCTCCAGCCTCCCAAGCATGACATCCCTCTCCGAGAACTGGTCCCTCCTGGCAACACGCCCAAAGTATGTCAGACAAGCCTCAGAATCTTTGCCTCCAAAGAGCAGCCTGGCTTCATCCTCTCCAGGTTGAACTTGTTTGTTCTTCTAGCAGTCCATGGTATATTCAACAGTCTTCTCATACAAATAATGTACATGTGATATTAAAGGATGGGTGCTCTGGTCAGATTTTTATTACATTATTATCAGAATTCATATATATAGACTGAACTGGAGGCAGTCATTCTAACAGATTATGCGGATTCTGCGTGGTTAATGATCAGGAAAGGTGTGCATCTTTTTAAAAATTATTATTTATTGATATTTTCTTTTTATTTTTTCTTTTTATTGTATTATTTTTTATATGCACCGTCAAATCAGATCTGACTGGTACAGGAGGAGATTGCCCCCTCCTTCTCCAGCAGAGCATCTGGTGGATTTGAACCACATACCTCTGGGATTGCAGTGCAACATCTTGCCACTAGGCCACCAGAGCTTCCTATTTATTGATATTTTAACAAAAGTGTACAGAAAACTTGGATTTTTATTCATTCATTGCTGCACATTTTCCTCCCTACCCCCCACCCCAGTTTGCTTTTCTCTTTAAAAAGATTCTTTTATTGTTGCACATTTCCTCCCTCCCTCCAGTCCACTTTGCTATGACCTCTTATTCTGGACTGTTGTCATGCAAATAATTTCTTATCCTCCTCTATTTCTATGCAGTGTTCATTATTTATCACCTCTTTTCTCAGTTTCTGTCCAACCCCAAGGCGTGCATCTGTAAGGCTGTATCCTTTCACTGTATTTATTCAACCTCTATCCTGTGATGCTGAAGCCTGTGACAGTGATGTGCCAGTCGTGGTAATGGGCACCCATGGTGGACAGTGTTAGCTGGAGCTTCCCGACTAAATCAAGCCTGGAAGCAGGAGTGGCATCCACTTCCAAAATGGCTTGCCTCTGGAAACTCTATGTACGAACAGTGCTCAGGCCGTTCGTTCATAGGGTCGCTATGAGTCTTCGACGACTCGACGGCATTAAGCAACAACAACAACATGCCGAACAAATCATCCGAGAAGCTGGAATTTTAAGAATAATTTAAGTTTGATTGGTGTGAAAAACAATGTATACAAACTTTATGAACTTTGTAAGTAAACCAATATAAAATTTTAAAAAAAGAATTTAGGCTTGAAAGAATCATAAACCACCTGCAATATGCAGACTTTGCTTGCTGAAACATTTACTGGACAAGGTCAAAGATTACAGCCCTCTGTATGGATTACATAAAACAGAAGGAAAACAGGAACCCTCTCAACTGGACTAGTAAGCAAACAATGTGAAGCTAAACTAAGAAAAGATGGGTGTTAGCAATGATCTCATTTTACTTGGATCTACAGTCACCATCCAGAGAAACAACAGTGAAGTAATTAATTGATGGATTGCATCAGACATTGCAAATGTGCTTCTAAAGACCTAACACGTTCAAAGAGCTCTTGTGGCCTAGTGGTAAGTAATTGTGCTGCTGACCCACAGGCACGTGGTTCAAGTCCACCAGCCACTCTGCAGAAGGAAGGTGGGCAGTTTCCTCCTGTGTCATTTACAGCCTCTGAAAAGCAGCCAGAGGGTCAGCTATGAGGTGGTTGCAACTTGAGAGCACATGATAACAAACCCAACATGCAAAGATATCACTTTGAGGCCCAACTTGGCATCTGACCCAAGGCAGAGTATTTTCAATCACTTCATAAGTACGCCAAAGATGGATGAGAAAAAAGAAGTTGAATTATGGTATTGGCAAAGAATACATTATGGATTGCCAGAAGTGTGTACAAATCTATCTTGCAAGAAGTGCAGCCTAAATATTCCTCAGGAATATTTGTCTCATGTGCTTTGGACACATTTTCAGGAGGGGACCAGTCCCTGGAGAAGAACATCAAGCTTGGTAGAGGAGAATGTCCGTCTTTCTCCCCTAGAGCCGGTGCTGGATCGACTCTGGCAGTACAATTCCCTATCCACCAGGCCACTGAGCTCCCTAGGTCTCAGAGGGTCAGTGTTAAGAGGAAGACCTTCAATCAGATGGACTGAGACAATAACTTGCTGAAAAAAGCAATCACTTGGGAGGATGGACCAGGCCATGTTTCGTGACCGCAGGCATCAGGGTACCTGTCACTAACTAGCAAAGTGTGACCTGTAAGGAACTGATATTTGGGCTTTGATAGGAAGCTTCCCTAAAGGCCTTCAGCTAAAAGGAACCCCACCCAGCCACAGAGGAAGTGCTGAGATTAGGGCCAGTCCGTGTGTGGGGAAGAGGCTTGGAGACCCGCGCTCCAAGTCCCATTCCCAGAAACCTCTGGCAATCTGCGGAACTCTTGAGTAAGTAACGCTACTGGCTGGGTCTCAGTTCCTCCAGATCAACTGCCTTCTCTCTACCCCCTCTCCCTTTGCTCACTTCCGAAGTGCGAGGCTCAAATGAGGCTGTGAAAGCCCCTGCACCGTGCTGACCCAGCCCCTCTCTGCCGTGGCAGGCCCTAGAGGGGGTCCTTTGCGCAAGCTACTGTGAAATGCTGCAAAACTGGTATTATTTTGTTTGCCATAAAAGGGAGGTGAGGAAATCTAGCTCAGATGGCAGCCGAGGTCACGAACCCTCGCTTGGTCTCAGTTTCCTCTTGGGAGCCAGAGGCTTCCTAATGGCACATAAATGACTTGGGGAAAGTTCGAGAGCATCAGGTGGAGGCTGCAAGCGGGGCGGGGGCTGCTCCCGGAGGCGGCGGGATCTCGGGGCGCGAGGTGGGGGGCCCCGGGAGGGCCCTCGGCCCTGGCCATGAGGACGATCCGCTGGAGACGGGGAGAGGGCCCCGCGCCGCCCAGGATTCCCAAGTCCCTCCGGGCGCGGAGGCCCGGGATTCCCGGGCGGGGCCGGAGGCGGGGCGGCGGCAGGAAGAGGCCGGAGCGCGCTCGGAGCAGCCTGGGCGGTGGAGCCAGGAGCCCGCGGCGCCCGGAGGTCTCGGCCAGCTG